ATTCCAAATGGGCCTTAGCCTTCCTTGTTGCATCCCTGCACACTCTGACAGCGTCCCTGTATTCCTCCCAAGTGGCCCTTCCCCTTTTCCACATCCTGTATACTTCCTTCTTCTGTTGGAGTTTTGCCAGGAGTTCCTTGCTCATCCATGCAGGTCTCCTGCCTGCTTTGCTCGACTTCTTACTCAGAGGGGTGCGCTGTTCTTGAGCCTGGAGGAAGTGATCCTTAAGTATTAACCAACACTCTTGGACCCCTCTTCCCAGCCTTCACATCTCCAGCCAGACTTTCCTCGTTTGTTAGTACAAGGTCCAGCAGCGCACTTCTCCTTGTTGGCTCTCCATCACCTGTGTCAGAGAGTTATCATCAGTGCTTTTCAGGAACCTCCTGGACTGTTTGTGCCTTGCTGTGTTGTTCCTCCAGCAGATGTCAGAGTGGTTAAAGTCCCCCATGAGAACCAGGGCCTTTGATCGTGAGGCTACTTCCAGCTGTCTGTAGAAGGCCTCATCGATGACTTCTTCCTGATCAGGTGGCCTGTAGTAAACCCCCACGGCAGTGTCACCCATGTTAGCCTGCCCTTTAATGCTTACCCATAGGCTCTCAGCTTGCTCTTCATCCACCCCGAGGCAGAGCTCCATACATTCTAGTTGCTCCCTCACATAAAGGGAAATTCCACTGCCTCACCTTCCTGGCCTGTCTTTCCTAAAAAGCGTGTAGCCATTCATGACAGCATCCCAGTCATGTGACCTATCTCACCAAGTCTCTTAACTGAAACAAGTTCATGGCCCTGCAACTGCACATAGATTAATTAATTACTAGTTAATATTGAACTGTCTGTTAAGGAAATTTTGAACTATCTGTAAACTAAAATGAACTGGAGCAAATGCTTCTCACAACTTGAGTAACCTAGGGACAACCACCTCCCGTAAGACCAAAGGCCACCACTAAGTGATTATTCTATCTATGGCTAATTAATTGTTGTCTAGAGAAAATTATGAAAACATCATAAGCTTGTATCAACCATTCCCCTAAGGTATAATTCCCTGTGCTAGAATACTGAAATTTTCAATCTTCCAGAGCGAGAGTGGATGTTTTTTTGTGTAATGCTTTGCACTGAATTGGCTTTCCAGATTTTTTTGAGTCATTTGTGTAACCCATGCTCAATTCTTTTCGTGTTGCTTCAGCTTTTAGCATCTCATATCTTCTGTTTTAGAACTACTTACTGTGTGAATAAATAATTTTTGATTTGCGGTGAGCTTTCTTTTTCCTGTCATCAATCATTTGTCGTTATTTACCTATGTGGATGTCATGCCATGCCATGCAATGCCTTTGAAAAACCTTTTCATTCTTTTCTTGACCTGTCCAATCTCTTTTGTATTCTTCTTTGAAAAAGGAAGAGAAGAAATACATACAGTACACAAGGTACAGACATTCCTTGGTACCCACCGCGACATAATACTATTTTCTGTTTTGATCTCTATTCCTTTCTCAACTTTCTGCTTGTTTTTTTGTATATTACTGACCATTTAGCCAAAATTTTCAAAGCTATATTATAGAAGTATATCCATAATGGAAGTGGTAATTTTCAGCAATGAACCCATCATTTATATGTCAACAGTACTGGGGCTTTTTTATTTGTCAATTGTTTTACATTCCTCTAGACTGAACTTTGTCTGCCACATTGCTGAATGATAACCTAACCATTTAATTTCATAAAGTCCTTCTGAAATTATTCACTGTTAGAGTTCACTTGCACTGCCCTGAAGGACTTACTGGCTTCAGAATCCTTGGCACCTTGGAATTTTGCCCATTTCCAGCTCATTTTAAAAAATGCTGAACTGCAGAAGTCCAAGAGCAGATTCCAGGAGGACTCCACTGATGAACACTTTGCACTATGAAAACTGAAAAATTATTTTTGCTATATCTTCATTTCTCTTAACCAGTTCTTTTTACACTTTCCTAATTCTACAGCTGCTTCTGAGCATAAGCATAAAAATTTGTGCTAAGAATAGCAGCTTTATAGACTGTACAGAGAATCTTTGTTGAATTCAAACAGGTTACCTTGACTGACTCTCCCTTGGCTCAAAAAAATTCAGTAGATTTGTGAGACATGACTTCCCTTTAAAAGAACTGCATCAGTTTTTTCTTGGTAAGTAACATATACTCACATGTCCAGTAAACACCTTGTTTAGAAGTTTCTACCAGTTTGGCTGTCACAAACATCAGTCTTATTGGTATGCTGTTCCTTGGATCTCCCCTCTCAACCCTTTAAACAAAGTTTTGTAACACTAGCCATCTTCCAGACAGCTTTCAGTGGGAAGGTCAAAAAGTTCATCTTTAGAGTTCCATTGGAACGCTTGGGTGAATTCTGTCCTGGCAATTTGTTAATGTTTATTTTATCATTTTGTTCCATATTTCTTTTAAGAACACTCCAATAAGAAGCAGTTCCTCTAATGAATCCCTCTATAAGGAAGAGTTCCAGAAGTGAATATTTCTCACACTCCTTCATGGTAAATAGGTGTAAAAACTAATTCAGTTGTTGTGATATGGCCTTATATTTTCCAAGTTGTCTTTTTTAATTAGGACTGTGTACTGGCTCTACAGACTCCTTTAAAGCCCTTCTGCTTCTTAAGTATTTGAAAAATAATTATTAGTTCTTATGCCTTCTGCAATTTGGTTCTCTTTCCTTTTGCATGCCTTCTTGTATTTTCACATTTACCTTGCCAGAATTTAAGATCCTTTCTATTTTAGTCATTTGCATATAATAGAATGTGGGTTTTTTGTTTTTTTTGGAAGAAAGCCTATATGTGTTTAACAGCCTCCCTTAATAGTCTGTGTAGCTGGATCGACTTTCTTTCAAAAGTCCTTTTTGACAGAAGGCTTTCATTTATTCTGTGCCTCTAGGACTGTGTTTTCCAATAAGCTGGAAACTATCTGAAAACACTAAGTCATTAGGTAACTAACTCCCAGTGGGAAACTCTGAGGTTGAGGTCACCTAGCTTCTGCACATTTCTTGAATGTCGCAGCCAGAATAGATGTAAGCTGACACAGACAAATACTTTCATCATACGGCACACTAATAAAAGATCAATTTATTATTGTTTCATTTTCACAGTATTCTTTTCCAATTAACCTACTTGCCACTCTGAACTTTACAGGATAAACTACAGTAATTTGTTGAAAAAAGAATTATATTAACAAATGAAAATATATTTCTCTTTGATTAGTATTTTTCTGAGTAAAGTTTGGATATTTAGACAACCCTAAAAAAGTTAGAGATAAACTTTTCACTATCCTTCTTTCTTACGGCTTCCTTTTGTACCACTGAATGGAGAAGAACAAACGGTTTCTGAGATGGGGAAAGGAAGTGCCAATTTTCTGAGGTTCAGGTTTCACAGTAATGTCTAACTGAGACTGGTTCATGTGTTTTCATAGGACCGCTGAAGGAAACATTGGCTTCAATATTGGATCTCCATTTCATTAACACCAAGTCCTATTTACAGAGCTCCACCCAAGTGACTTTCAATCCTGCAAAGCAAATCATTAATTGCACAATCCTCCCAACTAAGAACAAACCAGAAATCTAAAAGTATATTCAGATTTCTTTGAAGGAAAACCTGACAATGTTTTTAGCATTGAATTATTTCCTTCCAAACATGTTGGACAGTAAGTTAGAGCCTTGGTTGTTTAGAAACATGGTATCAGTAAAGAAGATGTTTGCACTGATGAGAAGACATCCACCCTAACAACATCTTTAAAAAATTGCACCATTTTCCAGAGAAAAGACATTTGTATTCCTCTAAGAGTGTTCATGGCCAAATAAGAAAACCAAGCAACTCACCAGTTAACATGAACTGATAGGCATTGTCAGAGATGGAGAAGATGTGGGGAGGAGCCTCCTGGCGCTTTTTGCCTCGGTAGGCCAGCACCACCTCTGGGTTGTACACCGGCAGCCACTTGTAGGGGTTGACAGTGACACAGAAGAGACCCGAGTAGGTCTGTGAGGAAGGGAGACAGCAAGTTGGCTTCCACTCATAGCAGTTCTTCCTAGCTAGCTGCAGGAGGACTGCTGCTGGTACTTACGTAGATCATCCAGGCTGCATAACGCTCTTTGAGGTTATACAGCACAGCGGGTTCATGGAGGTGGGTCATCATGGCCATGTCCTCAATTTTGTCATACTTAGGAGGGTTCATGGAGAAGACTTGATCTTCCTTCACGGTCAGAGTCTGCCAAGGAAGAGAGAGGTCCATGCATGTCAGCTAAGAGCTCAGAGCGGGAGTTAAATGCTGCTCTGAAGCCTTGTGTTTTACTCACTTCTCCTGCTTCGGTCTTGACAGTGACCTTTCCTCCTTCTTTGCTCTGGATTGTCCCTTTCACAAAGGATTCCTTAGCATGCACCACAAAGACCGATGACTTGGCATCGAAGGGTTTGTTCTGGGCCTCGATTCTCTCCTTTTCTGACTTTCGGAGGTAAGGAGCCGCCTCCCCAAAGACGGCCATCTCAGAGTCTGAAGACATGTCTGCACTTTACTGAAAGCACGTCAGCAGAGGACCCTGTGGGAGAACATAAATGTTGCATCAGTGGGAAAACAATGTTCTGTGTTAGCAAGGATACTCCTTACAAAGTTTTAAGATGAAGCACACACTAAAATTGCTAATGTCTAGCAAAAAATAAATTTCCTACTATTTAATGATTGGAAGCCAAAAGAGAAAAATACTACTTTCAGCCCTGCATTGTAAGGGGTAATCTTTTAAAGAAATTGCTTTTATTTGTGTCTTGTGGCACTGGACAGATTGTACAGTGGCTGGAAGTTTGACAGAACAAAAAACACTAAAGGAACCTTATTACTTCAAAGTAAAATTCAAAAAAAAAATTCATATAGAAAATATACAGGTGCTTTGAAAGCAGATGGAAAAAATGATTTGGAAACCAGTTTCTGTGAAAATAATACACTGCATAATATGCGATAAAGAGGGATGGCTGATTTTAACAAATCTCTAGACACAGCACACTTACCTTGAAACTTTTTGTGGAGACAGGGTAGAGCACTCCAAAGAGACTTTTATAGACTCTGGCATGCAGATGCTTTGGATTCTTCCTCTTCCTTTGGGCAAAACATTTTTTGGCAAACCTTCTTTGGCAAAGCATTGTCTGGCAAACTGAACTAAGGGCATAATTGTCATTCGATTTGACTAGATATATTTAGAAATGTTTTATATCTTACTTATGATGTGAAACTATCTACTATAAATAATTTGACAAGAGACGTAAGGAGAGACTCTCTGTTAGTCAAGGCACTTAGAGAACTTGGATGTAGGACTTATGGATTTTATTGCTGCCTTTTCCAGTGATTTGTTTCTTGACCCAGGTCAGATATTTTGGCATATCTCTGCTGCAACTCTTCCAGCTGTACAGCACAGATAACATATACCTTTTTTTTATATCTTCTTGGCTATCAAAAGAAATAAAGCTGTGTGTGAGCATATCTGCACTTAATATTGGCAAAGAGTGACAAATTCAACAGATGCATACTAGAGGGATGCAAACTGTCATAAGTGATATTAAAGTCTCACCTAGTTTCAAACAAATTACTCACAGTACCCGTACCTGCAAAAAGGAAATTATACTGCCTTACTTGCAAACATTTCTGGTTTTAAATGATACAATGCTTTTGTTACAGAGAGGAGCTACAATAAATATGTAACAATTAATATCTAATACTTTTGACAATACAGAAGTCATTAATAGTCAAAGCTATTTCTGTTTCTCCACATTTAGTACAGACATTCAGCAGGGCAATAGAGCCAAACATGCAAAAGTAACCTAGGCCAGGAAATAACTTCAGCCCCAAATATGTGGTTCTCCACAATACACAAAAATAAACACTCTACAATGCACAGCACTCCACAATGGCAGCAATGCTTTTCATTTCCTCAGGAATAAACAAGCAGTGTTAACACAGTTTCAACAGCTCAAGTCTGGGTCTCTTGTATTCATATGCCCACTGTCGACATCATACATCAACCAATTTCCTCAGTCAAGCCAGGGAACAGGAGAGGCTCCTGTAGCCCTTGCCTGCCTACATCTCCCCAAAACATCCCCTCCACCCAGCCATAACTGCATGCATGATCACACAGACAGCATACAGTACCAGATACCCTGTCCTCTGATACAGCCTCAGTCCAATAGCATCATCCCAATTCAAATAACTTGCACATCTACACACTCACACAGTCCCAGTAAAAAGTCCTAAAAACACAGGGCTGCTTGTACCAGAGCACTAAAGGTGGTAGGCAGTACAATGCTGATACCCTGAGAAAGGGGGAATTTGCTGGTGGTCCCGGAGAGTAACTGATCTAGTTCTAGGAAAAGGGCACTATCGCTTCACAGAATCACAGAATCACAGAATGTTTGAGGTTGGAAGGGACTCTAGAGATCATCTAGTCCAACCGCCCTGCTCAAGCAGAGTCCTCTAGAGCATATTTCCCAGGTTCACATCCAGATGGGTTTTGAATATCTCCAAGGATGAAGACTCCACAGCCTCTCTGGGCTCTGTCTCCCTCTTCCAGTGCTCTGTCACCCTCACAGGAAAGAAGTTTTTCCTCATGTTCAGATGGAACTTCCTGTGGTTCAGTTTATGCCCGTTGCCTCTTGTCCTGTTGCTGGGCACCATGGAGAAGAGACTGGCCTCATCCTCTCGACATCCTCCCTTCACATCCTTGTACACATTGATGAGATCACCTCTCAGTCTTCTCTTCTCCAGGCTCAACGGGCCCAGCTCTCTCAGCCTTTCTTCAGAGGAGAGATGCTCCTCCATAACAAGAAGTCCTTCTTGTTGTCCTTGACATCCCTTGCCAGATGTAATTCCAAATGGGCCTTAGCCTTCCTTGTTGCATCCCTGCACACTCTGACAGCGTCCCTGTATTCCTCCCAAGTGGCCCTTCCCCTTTTCCACATCCTGTATACTTCCTTCTTCTGTTGGAGTTTTGCCAGGAGTTCCTTGCTCATCCATGCAGGTCTCCTGCCTGCTTTGCTCGACTTCTTACTCAGAGGGGTGCGCTGTTCTTGAGCCTGGAGGAAGTGATCCTTAAGTATTAATCAACACTCTTGGACCCCTCTTCCTTCTCGGCCTCAATCCCATGGGGATTCTTCTTCCTAGAAGGTCCCTGAAGAGGCCAAAGTTAGCTCTCCTGAAGTCCAGCGTTGTGATCCTACTTATTGCCTTGCTTCCTCCTCGCAGGATCCTCAACTCCACCATCTCGTGGTCACTGCAGCCAAGGCTGCCCCTAACCCAAGCTGCTTTAAGTCCTGTCAGATCGAAACATGTTCTTCTCCTGGTCATTGACATTTTAGTTGTCAAAAGCTCAGTGAATAACACAGAGACAAGGTCGGAAAACGATGTGTGGGATCCAAGGTAATATCCAGCATCAGGCAATGCCCTGTGCATGAAGAGCTTGTTCCAAAGAGAGCTTTTGCACTGTAGCACTCACATTTTGGGTGTATGGGCCCTAGTTTGGAGTCCAAACCTACAGCCCGCTCCTGGGATCCCTGCAGAAGGCATGGGGAGGCTGATGGAAACACCCATGACCCTGCCCAGGGAAGACCCCAGAGCCAGCCACAAGGAAATGGTGAGCACAAGGGTGCATCTGAAGTCCCACCTCTCTGGGCAGTCTCTGACTCCCATGCACATACAAATGAAGGCAATTCCAAGAGAAGATCACCTGTAGGTGAGGAGAAAAACAGGAGGTCTTCAAAGGAGAACTCAGAAAACTGTAGACAGTCCGGAAGCCTAGTGGTTACAGGTGCTGGCCAAGATGGGAAAGGGGACAGGAGGCCTTTGGCATCTCAGAGGGCAGGATGGAGAAGAATGTGCAAGAAGAGCAAGTCTGAATGGGCAAGTGGCTAGGGTACTTGGAAGGGGAGACTTGGACTCCAGTGCCAGCTTTCCAATATTATTTCCTGTTCATCCAATTATTTTTTCAGCATAGAGTACATAACAATTCCTAGGAGGAGCAGAGGAGGATTGGGGCTGTGTTTTCAACTCACTCATGCTGAAGAAGAACAAGACCCCGGGGCTTTATAGTCACATTCTAGAATCCAGGCCATGAGATGCCAAGTGCTGAGCCTGGGGCACTTCACTGTTCCAGAGAGCTGTCCATGGAGACTCAGGAGCCTTGTGAGTCTTCTGTGCTTCTCCGCAGATGTTCTGAGGAGACCTTGTCCCAACAAGCATCACAGCTTGGACCAGTGGGATCACTGCTGGCTTTCCTTGTGAGAAAGCTCAGATAAAGCAGGGTTACAGGAATAGTGTTTATCACAGTGTTCAAAGACTTATTTAGGAAGCTTACTGAGAGCCTGGCTCTAGCTGGATTCTGGAAAAGAAGAACTGTGCCCAATCCCTGAGGAAAGTGGCTGGGATTTCACATTGCACCTCACTTTCACCTAAATCCTTGGAGGGCAGTGAAAAATACAAATGATAGGATCTGACTCTACTGATGGTCCTTGCCCTCTCAAACTGCAGCTGTTTTCAGTGTGAGACACTGAGATTGCGGACCCTGGCCTCTGCTAGTCCAGGCACACTCTATCTCTGGTCACCTCATTAGGAGGGACAGCAACCTTGCCTACAGAGAAATGATGCAAGATTTACACAAGAACTTGGAAGGTTTGGGTGTCTCCATCCACAGTACCTTGACACAGAGGGCTACCCTTCATGAGGAGGTCTGGAAAGCTGCTAACATCAAGGGGCAGGTGACACTATCCCTGGTTGATGAGTCATGGGAATCAGCCCTGGAGATCCAGTGTGGATAACGTGAACCCAACTGACCGTGGGCATGGAGTTAAGGTGGGTGGGGAAACTGATTCCCATTCTCATACAGAATGAAAATAATTCCAAGGGAAGAAGACCACTGGTAGTTGAGAAGAAAAGTAGGAGATCTTCAAAGGAGAACTCAGAAAGCTGCAGACAGTAGCCTCCTGAAAGGAAGACTGAGAATGCTGCCTGATTGCTCAGGATGACAAGGACCTGCAGGACACACTGTCCCACCTAACCCTACATCAAGCTTCAGGGTATTGGAGGAGGTCCTCCATGACAGGAAGTTTCTGTGGGCAAGAGCTAGTAGCACAGAAAAATCCACAGCATGAACAGATATGCTGGATACTGCTTGAAGAAGAAGAAACTGTTATTACTAAGAAGTTCTACTTTGAATTTCTTTGTGCAGCATAAACATTGACCTCTGTCAATTAATAGCTCTTTATTGATACTTTAGTCCCCATGGACACCCTAAATAAGTTAACATAAGGCAGTTATGGGCATGTAGGCTTTGTATGGTGTGATTCAGGAAAGGTGACTGGTACTGAGTAATAGTCAGGAGGATTACTGAAAGCTAGCAACAGTCTCCAAACTGTTGTATATGGAGGTTCAGCAACTTGAAATGAAAATATTTTTGTATGCTGAGCTTAGCTGAAAAACATGAAGATTCTCCACTAAGTAGGGCTGTCCCCAACTTGGAATGATTTT